AAAAACATAAATGATTATAATGTAAAAGCTCTAAAAATATGTATTGACTGACATTCATCAAACCACGATTAGTTTATTTTACGTCAAAGGTCATACCTTGTATCTATATGGGATGAACTAGACTGAGGCTTAACATGAGATCAAGAGAACAATTGTTTGTTTGTTTTACAATAACAGTTAGAACACGCCTCTGGATTTTGTAAACAACATCAATAATTTACTTGTGATTAACTAAACCACATATAATTCATTTACAATAATGTTTCTACTTTTCATCTGAATCAAATTAACTCCTATAAGGTTTCACTTGTTATCATTCAAACTCATGTTATTTTGTTTTCCAGCATTGGTTCCACCTTTCTTTTGGAGCAAATGAATTACAACGGGGGCTTCAATTATGATAAGTTGAATTGTGGTTAATATTTTTCCAAAAAATTGTCCTAGCTTTCTTTTGAATCCAGTAAGCTCTAACAAGGCTTAAAGTGTGGTCATTATAATGATATTTGGATCATTTTCTAATAACGGTTCTACCTTTTATCTGTATTTTATGAACTAGAACTAAACTTCACATGCGATCACTCAGAATATTATTAGTTAGTTAATTGACATTGGTTCTGCCTTTCTATTAAAAAAATTGAACTTATTTGAGGCTTCATTTTCAATAGCTCAAACCATATTTATTTGTTTTACAACTATGATCAAAACTTTCTTTTGGACCTGATAAAGTACATAAAGACTTTACTTATGACCAGTCGAATTGTAGCTAGTTCATTTTGCAACAATGTTTCCACCTTCTATCTGGATCACATGAATTGCATTGGCCTTCACTTGTGATCAATCAAACTACATCAAGACTTTACTTGTGATTTGTAAGATTTTGGCTAGTTCATTTAACAACAAGGTACCATCTTCTATGATCAATCAATTTATGGATACTTTTTTATTTATAATAATGGTTAAAATTTTCTTTTGGATGTGATGAACTATGTCAAGAGTTTACTTATGATCAATTAAACCATGTATAATTCGTTTTACAATAATGGTCCTACCTTATATCTGAATTAGATGAACCATTATAAAGTTTCACTTATGATCATTCAAACTTAAGTTATTTTGTTTTCCAACATAGGTTATACCTTTCTTTTGAATCTAATGAGTTAGGCTTTAAGTGTTGTTGTTTGAATTATGGTTAGATCGCTTTCTAATAACAATTATACCTTTTATATGTATTTGTTTAACTATAACTAAGCTTCACATGTGATCACTCAGAATATGGTTAGTTAGTTTATCAACGTTAGTCATTCCTTTTTTCTAAATAAGATGAACTTCTTTAAGGTTTCATTTTCAATTTCTCAAACCATTGTTAGTTTATTTTACGTCTATGGTCGAAACTTTCTTTTGGACTTGATAAAGTACACGAAGAATTTACTTGTGATCAGTCAAATTGTAGCTAGTTCAATTTGAAACAATGGTTCCACCTTCTATCTAAATCATATGAATTACATTGAGTTTCTCTTTTAATTCCGTTTTCAAATCATGCGGCAGCTGCGCGAGCTCTTATCGCGTGTCATAAATGACCTATGAATAGGAAGAATCTTAGAACAAAATGAGAAGTAGCTAACCAACTTCTAGTAGAGACATATTTGGCCGCACTAATCTTTATAGCTACGCCACCCTTAAAATTTAAAGAACCTAAGGAAGCATGAGTCATATATTCCGCAAAATGACGTTCTTACCAAGACTGTGTATCTTTTTCAACTCTAATAAAGTCCTAACCATTAAGACCTCTTAGAGGTTCTAACCAAGGAGATGTATATCCATAAAATGCATAGTTTCTCCTCCAAAATGACATATCCAGTCGAAGAGCACATTAGATATTTACCTAAAAGGAAGGCCCTTGAGCGGAGTCTACATTAGCTTCAAGATGTTGGTTTCTAACAAGAAAATTAAATGCTTGAGTTTGAGAAGCTTCCGGTCCAGTGGAACCATTAAAGTAAATAGGATAAACATTATTATTAAACTAGACAAAGCAATAGGTTATAAAACCAAAAACGGATAAAGCACCTAAACTTTAAGATAAGTAAGCTTCTCCAAACCATACTAGTACAAGCCGAGCCCATGCAAATAGAAGAAATTTGTCACCCCCATTAATAATAATAATAATAATAATAATAATAATAATAATAATAATAATAATGTTTTGGGTTTCTTTAGGTTTAATACATTTTTTAGTCCCGTATCTTAACCTCGGGGGTTCATTTCGATCCCTTGATTTAAAAATGTCTAATTAGCGACCAACTTTTGAGTTTTCAGTCACTAATTAGATAAAAGGATTAATGTTGTGCATTTTGAAGAGTTGAGAAACCAATATGAACCTTTTTTTTAAAGTTAAGTGACAAAAATGAACCCCACGATTAACACAAGACCAAAAATGATATTAAGCCTTTTGTTTATCTATGGGGTTTATATATTCCATTTTAACATGTCTTACAATCTGAAAGAATTTGGGGGTGGGGCCTTTCCTTTTTTTAATCTATAATGAATAGTTTTAAGAGATGAGAGAATTGAGAATACTCACTAAAAAATACTAATCCAATCCATATGATGTACTAGAAAATACAAATTTTTGTTACTTGACCAACCATCAGGAAAAGCAAATGTTGAAGCAAATACAACATGTATACTAATTAATAAAATAAATGAAGTAATTATTAATGCAAAAATAACTATTGAAAATAATTATGAAACTTTTTTTGCTTATGGAAAATGTTAGGTGAGGCTGATCTCGTGATGAATTAGAAAAAGTTGAAAATAAAAGTGAAAAAAATGATTTAAAGTTAAATGAGAAAGGGGTAGAGTTTACATATTCTTAAATTTTCCCGGGTAAAGTTTTAAATTTAAAGGTATAGGGTAAAAAACATTGTTTCATTCACTTATCCTACATCCATAAAAACAAAATGAAAATTTTATTCTAAATTCTAACAATTATCCTCCAATCTTTGCAATTCATTTGATTTGACTATAATACCTTTATATTATATCTTGAAAAAAAGCTTTAAAAAATTGCATTTCAGGTGACTCATGGTAAGTTATCTGGTGACTACAACAAAGACGACTTTAGAAAACAATGAAAAACAATAGCCTAAAGTAAAAAAAATCATTACATTTGGAAAAAAAATTGCATCATGGATAACTTATTGGTAAGAGCATCTTTAATGGGAGTAAACTAAATGGGTAAACTAAGATATTTTTTGTGCGCCCAAAGTGATTTGTAGGATTTGAGTTGTTTATAGTTGATTTGAGTTGTTTTTACTTTAATGATGGTTGTTTGTAAAAAACCAAAACTTGACACCACATTTTATAGTTGTTGGAATTTTATTGATATTTTAATAATATAAAATAATAATAAAATAATAATCAGAGTCATTGAAATTTGATAGTGTGTGTTGGTTATATAGTTTACTCCCACTAATTGTTAGTTCACTTATTGTCATGTCATTCTTATTCCAATGCAAATTGCTTATAACTACCATTACTATTAAAAAATTTAATACTAAGGAACTTGCACTAAAGATGCTCTAAGTTATCGGGTGATTACAACAAAAATGACTTTAAGCAATAGTGAAAACCGTGGCCTAAAGTAAAGAAAAGTATTTTCGTCATCTTACCAGTTGTGATGTTTCTACTATGGCAACGGTTTTTAAACGTTGTATGTTCACTTTTGGGAGTGGTTTTCTAATCGCGGTCTAGTTTGCAATGAAAAAAAATCTACCAGAAATTTTTTAACAAGCCATCTGTTGAACAAAATTTTGGTAAGAAAATAATATCGAAGGTACTTGGAGCCTCTAGAACCTGATGGCTCCGCTCTTGTCGAACTGATGCACGCTGAGCAACCTTGCCATGCCTTAATATGTCATGTTTGTCAGTCCTTATGCATGTAAGTTAAGGTAAGGCATACCATTAGTGCACGTAAATAACACACAAGCAAGAAAATTATATTTAGGTATTGCAGGAAATTTCAGAGATGCACCTCCAGAAGCACCAAAAAAACTAAAATGTTGAAAAATTTCAGAGATGCATCTCCGGAAGCCCCAGGAAACTAAAACATTTAAATATTTTAGATATGAATCTCCGGAATTTCATGCAGTATATGTAACGCTGAACAATTTCGAATATGTATCTTCATAATGTTTGTAACTCAGAAGTTGCGTCAATGACGAATGTACCACATGCAAGGTGAAAAAAATTGTTCTGATCACTATTTTCAGCCAACAAACAACTTATACACTATGTCTAAACTATCTTACATGTGATATCTACACATTTCTACCCCTAATCATTGAGTTCTACTTATTTACACTAAAACTCAAAGATTTATCAAAAACTAAAAAAAATTCTTAATATTGATGGTTTTGATGAAGTTGAATGATGTTACAGATGAATATTGATGTTCCTTTGAGTTCCCTTGAGCCTTGTTTGATGAAATTTGACTTGGTATAAAATAGTGTATTGAGAAAGTTTGAAGTTGTGGTTGAAGAAATGTGAAATGAGGGAGGAAAAGAGTCTGACGCGACTTATACTTCAAAATGTTCTTGAGATATATTTTCGAAATAATTTAATGTTAACATAAATTTGAGTATGTCCAGAGATATATCTCTTAAAATAGAAGGTATTTGTGAAAATTCAAATGGTGTATTATATACATCTAGGGTGCAATAAGAAATTCTCAAAAGTTTTCAAACAAAAACAAGACTTCGGCCCACCTTTGAACAGAGGAAATCAGGCCCGGTCCGGCCCATTCAAAATCCATCAAATTTTTTCGTCCTATATACCGTTTCTTCATCTAGCCGCACAAAACCAGCTAGGGTTTCGCTTTTGGTAAATTTCTCTCCTAAACCACTTTGCTACTAACATTTCTTCATGCTCAGTTAACATTTTTCCTTTCGGTTTTTCCGCAGTTGTGAGATCTGTAGCTGATTACCCACTGATTCTGTATCAAAATGAGGTATTTTTACTCTAACAACATTAATCGAATTTCACTTTCATCCATTTTGTGTCTATAATGCATTTTCTGATTCTATATTCAAGGAAAATCGTTATGCTAGTGTTTCTGATTTATATATTGTTGATGGATTTGTAGTAAGCTTCAAAGTGATGCTGTGAGAGAAGCCATCTCAGGAATCATGGGTGATTCCAAGGACAAACAAAGGAAGTTTGTTGAAACGATTGAGCTTCAAATTGGGCTCAAGAACTACGATCCTCAAAAGGACAAACGTTTCAGTGGATCCGTCAAGTTGCCCCATATCCCTCGCCCCAAGATGAAGATTTGTATGCTTGGAGATGCCCAACACGTTGAAGAGGTATACATCTTCTCAAATTATTATACTGTTTTGTGAATATTCAATTTTGTGCTGCAGTGTTATACCACGAGTTAACTTTGTTTCATAGATTATAGACTTTGTTAGCTGTTTCCAGTGTAGTTTTGTGCTTTTGTTTGGTATAATTTTTTATTGTTTGTTACCAATTGGTGTAATTTATTTGAATGATACAATACTTCTTTAACCACGGTTCCACATAATTGTTGACATCTTTAGGTTCGATGTTTCTGGTATGGTATTTTGTGCTTTAGTGTATTGTTAAATGGATAATATATATGCTGAATAGTAGAAAGAGGTTTTCCATGTATAGACATTAGTTGCGAATGTAGGATTAGAAACACGAAACATCACCATTGAACCTAAACATGTCAACAATTATTTTAAGTACAAAACAACAATGCTCTTCAATAATTATCATTCCAGTTTTTCCATAGTCATTTGTGTTAAAGTTACTCCAATTTGCAGGCAGAGAAAATAGGTTTGGAGTCGATGGATGTTGAAGCTTTGAAGAAGCTCAACAAGAACAAGAAGTTGGTGAAGAAACTAGCCAAGAAGTACCATGCCTTCTTAGCTTCTGAGGCAGTTATTAAGCAGATTCCCCGTCTTTTGGGTCCTGGTCTCAATAAAGCAGGCATGTTTTTTTTCTGGTTTAGGATTGTGGATTTTCCTACCTATTTATATTTGAGAGCATTTGGAACGTATGTTCGATAATTTCATATAACTTAATTGTCTATTCTATGTTTTGTATGTACTAGCTCCCTAAACAGCTTTTATAAGAATTTTGCGTTGTTTCTTCCTCAGTTATTAGTTTTGTTTGATAAGAATTGTTTATTGTGTCTTCACTTTCAACTAAGTTATTGATTTTGATATTTTATAATTACTTTTTCAGGTAAGTTTCCAACACTTGTCTCCCACCAAGAATCTCTTGAGGCAAAGGTTAATGAGACCAAGGCTATGGTCAAGTTTCAGCTTAAGAAGGTGCTCTGCATGGGAGTAGCCGTTGGCAATGTTAGCATGGACGAGAAGCAAATCTTTCAAAATGTTCAACTTAGCGTTAACTTTTTGGTCTCTTTGTTGAAAAAGAATTGGCAGAATGTGAGTATTTCATTTATATGAGTAAAATATTTGCTGTTTGCTTCTATTCATCTAAGATAACTTGCTCTGTTGATTTCAGGTCCGTTGCTTGTATCTGAAGAGTTCAATGGGAAAATCTTACCGTGTCTTTTAGGGAGTTTATTTTATTATCAATTTTCAAATATTCAGCGATTTGTTATCTCTCTCAATAGTTGGATACAGTACTTCATATTGTCACAGTTTTGCTGGATTATTTATGGTTAAATTTTGTTTTTTATGTTCAGATACTTGATAATTTACTGTTTTTGGTGCTCTAGTCATTGCTGATGAAACTTGTTGATTTATAAATCTGATTATGTAAACAAATCTTGTGGTGCAACATGAAAACATGTGTTTCTCTAATGTGGGTAGGGTAAGCTTGTACTCAAGGCTGAAAAGTAACCCTGCTAATTTTTTGGGAAACAAAGTTACCTCTTGTTGATTTCTATTTGTTGTTGCTTTAAGGCGTTGATATTTCTTGATATTTCTTTTAACATTTTTTTTAATGCGCATGGTCCTCATATTGAACCTTGGATTGGGTTAACAAATCAAAAATATAGTTATAATACTATGTTGGTTTAATTTTAACTTTGTTTTTTTTTTTTAACATGATTCTTTTATATTAAAATTTCTACTCCCATATTTTGAACCTCAAAATGGTGGTGCCATTTTTCATTGAAATGCACAACTGTCTTATCATAATAACCCATCTTCATCTTTATAAGATATATATTCAAGTCTTTGGGTCTATTTTGGCTAATGTATCCAGTATAATCCATCTCTTTTATAATCCATCTATTCTCTTTTATAAACAAATTAAAATTAGCTGGACTATATATAAGCAAAATGGTGGGTCTATATTAAAATTTTGCTTATAAATAGAAATTGTGGGAGTATATTATATTTTATAGGTCCAAGGAAGAATGCAATCTTCTCTACCAGTTTTGAACTCATGCTCAATCACTATGCTAGAACTTTATATTGATCAATGTTTTACAACCGCCGAGAACATTTTATTGTTCCTCGCCCGATTAATCTAATTCAATTTAGAAAGTTGATAGTTCATGCCAATTAATGAGTCTAATGCTGAACAACTAACATATTTCAGCTCATTATAATATCAACATTATATCAAAAGCTTGTTAAAGACTCGGTTTAATGGCAATGATTTGGTTCTTTCTCATTGATAGAAATTTGGATTTTTGAGAGTAAATCTATTCATATGAAGATTGAGTCTATTAACATGAGAAAATTTCAAGAGCATATAATCTCTAGAAGAAATTTTTGTTTCAATACTATTTAGAATTGATTCATTATAAGTCTGATTTTAGAATTGAGTTCAGTCGAAATTAGACTTTATCTGTCTAATCGATTCAAGATTCACTTCTTGCAAGTTTGAGAGTAAATTAGTTTTCATCAAAACTCTTCACGTTAATTTGTAACTAAACATGATTTCATAAATTTTTGTCACCGTTAATATGTAGTTAAATAAAGTCTATTTTTTTTATCCGGTTAGAACCATAAATAATTTATACATAGTCTCCAAAAATTTGAAACGACTAAGTCAAAAGCTTCGTAATGAATTGATTAGCCTTAGTTGATTCAACTACCATATAATGCATGATAAACTAATAAATTGATTTTAAAACAAATGCATATGAGATTATTCAAAGCTAAAAAGACACGTACAAAATCAACACTATACTCCTTCCAATCACTATATAAGTAAAAAAATTCTTTTTAAGTTCATTCAATAACTGATGTATCTATCTGATCTACATATATGAGATTATTCAAACCTAAAAAGACACGTACAAAATCAACACTATACTCCTTCCAATCACTATATAAGTAAAAAAAATCTTTTTAAGTTCATTCAATAACTAATGTATCTATCTGATCTACATATAGAGATCAGATGCTAAGGTCTTCCCAAGTTGTTATAGAATTGGTTGGAAGGGAATCTAACCAAGTAAGGGCTTTGTCTCTGATGGAAAAGGGAAATAATCTTAACCGGATTGCCTCAGGGGTAGCACCATTGGTTTTAAAAGTGTTAGCTAATTGAATAAAGGTTTTTAAGTGTTGGTTCGGGTTCGGTAGCGAGTCCCGCGAACTGGTTCTGTTGCACTAATTATAATAGGGAAGGTTTTAGCTCGAAATTGTGAGCAGGAATATTGGGGTTAACAATAATAGAGCTAGGTTTGTCATTAGATGGTTGGGCGAAATCCTTAAGGGGTCTTTGGTTAGGGTCTTCGTCCATAGCTTTCTTAATTCTACGAAATAAGATACGCGCGCGAGTGTAACATTCAGGTTCCTCTAAAGGATCTATGAGAGTACTGGTGTTGTGAGTTCTTCGCATTGACCGGTGGATAAAACCTTAGTCTAGACGGTGTAACAATATGGTACGAAATTTTGACGTAATTGGTCCCCGACAACGGTGCCAAAAATTTGATGTTGGAATTCGCAAGTGCACGAATAGCGTCAGAGTAATATAAATGATTATCGATCCCATAGAGACCAAATGTCAATCAGTTGTTCGCTAGTGTTATGGTGTTTATCTAAGGTATGTCAAATAAAAGGTTGAGTTGTGCGAAATAAAAGTAAAGTGCATAAATAAATTCAATAATAAAACAACAGGCATAAATGTAATTCACATAGCTACGTGGTATTCCAAAATGTGTATAAATAGAATGCCTTATGAGGTCATGTTTTCTACTCGTGAAAAAAACTAATTTAACAGGAACTGTCGCTTTTGCGTATTCAGAACCGAGTTTATCCCTAATCGATCCCTCTTATTGTCACTTATAAAAAGGCGCGTATTGCGTTAGGATTAATAAACCTATTTTTAAGAAATATAGTTTCTTACTTAGTTGAAATGTATTTTAACCTGGAACTTCTAACAAAAAGAGGTTCTTGCGAACCAGACTTTAAATCCATAAACGCGTTCGAAAACAGTTTTAAAATCGATTTTCTTTAAACATCAAAAATTCCTAATTAACTTAACCAAGCGCTTTCGCATCCTTTGAACAGTTAAGACTAACCTAATTTATCTAAAGGTTGGACGACTTTCGATCTTACCCAACAGATTTTAAGTGCAAAAAATAAGTGTTAAAAGTAAAAATAACCCCTAAGTAATTTTATCGACAGCCACATGGAATACTATTATAACTATAATCCTTGCATCCTAGCCTTTAAGATTTAGCCGGAGATGATAAAGTAAATAGACATGGTAAATAAATGCGAGTAAATAAAATGCGGGAAAATAGATAAAGTGCGGTAAAGGGTGTGATAAATAAACGGTGCGGGAAATAAAAACGGTGCGAGAAATAACAACGGATAAATAAAAGGGCGATAAATAAACAGAAACCTGCTCTAAACGAGAGGCTTTAAATCTTGGTACAACTGGAAATAAATGACAGAAATAAAATGGCAGCAAGATTAACTTCTACCCAAGTGCTCCAAACCCGATTACAGACTCGATTAAACAATGTGATAACCCCTAGATGTGAGAAGTTTATCACTTTACAAATAGGTGAAATTTATGGCTTAAGTTCTGTAACTAAGCTTGGATGATTAGAAATGAGACATAACTCCTCTATTTATAGTGGTAGGAAAGTACAGGTAAGGACAAGAATGCCCCCCAACTCCTTTTAGGAGGGAAACAAGATTGTGAAGGTGGCGCCCGCCACATGAACTAGGGTGGAAAGGAGTAGGAGACGTGGTAGTTGTCAGCAGTTGTCTTCTATCCAATGTGTGACATCCCCTATGGCGCCCGCCATGGTGGAAACCATGTGTACAATTCCTCATAATGTTGGTTTTTTAGCTCGTTTTTCTTCATTTCTTCTCGAGTAGCTTTGAGAATACAAAAAGCTGAAGAAAAAAAAATAGAGACATAATACAAGAAAACAGTAATAAAATCCTAAATAACATGCGCAAATCGAGTTGAATAAACAATATATTTTGGGCCTATCACTTATCGATACAGACTTATGAACCTGGTATTTTGGATTTCTCGCCAGTCTGGTATTCTGGTATTCTAGTATTTTGGTATTCTGGTATTCTGGTATTCTAATTATTTTGATTATTTTGATTATTCTGATATCCTGATATTCTAGAATTCTCGTCAGGGCATAATTTTCAACCTATCTCGTCAGCAGCACAACAATTATTCAAAATTTATGAAAACTTTGATCTCATGTCTATTGCATTCTTATCATTGCACAACATAAATATCTATGCATCATTTTGCATATCATCCTTCAACCAGCCATAACTCTCATTCAATATTTGACCATGACCAACTAGTTGATTCCCCGGTGCTCGTTGGAAGACGATGTAGTGTTTGAAGCAAGATCAAGAAGTAGCAAGAAGTAAGGTCAAATTGGAAGTTGTTGGTAGCTATGTCAAGGAACAACCTCCAGAATATTGATCCCCCGTCAGGATTTACTATGACGACTAACCCACTCTATGGTTTTCTACTTGATGAGGATCGTTAACAATTGAACAACCTTACTCAAGCTCAACATTTTGTTGGCCAAAGTGGACACTCATCTTCTCTTGATACTACGGGCTATCATGGTTTTACATTCTCTGTGTCGAATTCCCAAAGGGAGGTTCCGATGATGAAAACCAAGGACCCGGTGGCTCTTGAGTTTGTTAAAAGATATCATCTGTTGGATGAGAAACTCAAAGCCTTGGAAGTTCAAGATGTTTTTGGTATTGACGCTTCATATATGTTGCCTGGTATCTGACCTAGTCTTACCTCCAAGTTTCAAAACACTGAAGTTTGAGAAGTACAAGGGGGATAGTTGCCCAAGGTAGCATTTGGTGATGTTTTGCAGAAGAATGACTTCGCATGTTCACAAGGATAAGCTAATGATCCACTATTTTTCAGGACATTATGAGTGGGGCATATTTGAGTTGGTACACACAATTAGAGAGTGGCCACATCCAATCATGGTTGGACTTAGCTAAAGCTTTTTTGAAGCAGTACGAATACAATCTTGACATGGCTCCCAGTCACATACAGTTGCAGGACTTGTTTCAAAAGAACAATAAATCCTTCAGAGGATATGCTCAGAGATAGAGATAATTGGCTTTTAGAGTGCAACCCCC